TGCTTCTGTGCAAGCCCATTCCTGGAATTAAAAAAAAAATAGAAAATCWYKCAAATTAAAATTCAGCAGAATCTTGTTTATCTAGTCCTCGCCTTGCTTTCTCAGTCTCTGACGCAAATTGTTAAATAGTTTTCACTTGAGAATTGACATTTTGTAAAGGCTAATATGATGTCTCATTGTTTCAATTTCATTCACATAGTCTCATGTTGATAGAGTCTATAAAATGCTCTAGTTTTTTACGCTGTAGTCAGTAGATTTTAAAAAAGCGAACAAAAAAAACCAGAAAAAAAAAATCCTATTTTTGTCCAGTAGTCTTAAGCATTTATCGCTTCACTGAAATTTTGCTTCTAGTGCTAGCTTTTTTCCTAAATTCTGGTACGTTCCTGTGGATATGTGTAATAAGCTACTTGTTGAGCAGTGTAGTAGATTTATTCTGTTAAAGCTGTTTAGGTGTGTTAAATAAGAAAAGCCCTTGAACTTTTTCTACAATTTTTGGTTACATGAGGGTTTCTGAAATTATTTCCCCCATCAGAATAAAATCACAATAAGAATTCAGACCAGAATTACTGAAATATTTTATTCAGTAATGTTGACAAATAGGCTTTGCTTGCTCTAAAATAGTTTTAGTCTGAAGATAAAATGAAAATGCAGACAAAAGTGCTGGGTTTAAAGGTGTTGATTATTAGCCAATGCACCTGCTACCAAAAAAACTGCTCTTTCCAGATTCTCATAGAATYATAGAAGTGTTTGGAYTGGAAGGGACCTTTRAAGGTCATCCAGTCAAACTTCTCTTCAATGAGTTGGGCCATCTGCCTGAAACTGCCTTGTCAAAGCAAAACTTTCTGTGGTGCTGTGACAAGGCGGGCATCCCACTGCATGATCTCTGTGTGCAGAGAATGTGAGCTTACACAAGTGAGGAAGTGAATGGATTGAATCTGTGTGACTGTGGAAATGTGTGAGGTTCATGCAAAAAGCCAGAGCAGGAGCAGGCAGGCACCAACCTTCCCATGGGAGATTTTGGAGGTTCCTTAATATTTCTGAGGAAAGGAAACGAGTAGTGCATTATGCAAGGATGGCCTGGTAAAGCAGAACTGAGGAGMAAACAGCCAGAATTGAAATTTCCCTTTCCTTTTGTAAACTCTTCAGCCMTGTCTCTGTAAGATTGCAGGGTTTTGTGTGACAGCTCAACTTATGGGTTTCACTGTTCTAGAAGGTATAAGCATGATTCTTGATAGCAAGGACAGACCTGTTCTCTGCAGCTTCTCTGTGTTGTGTGTCTTCAAGGGCTGCAGAACATGTCCTTGCTCTCTGCAATCAACCAGACATTTTCTTTYCATTCCCAGTGCTTGTGAATGAGCAAAAAGGTTTTAAGCAACAACTAAATCCATCCTTATCTTTCTTTCATGCACTTTTTGCATCTTCCCCACTTACTTTGATAGCAGAAAAGGCAAGTCACTCAGTCTGCGGTCATGGTCTTACTTGCGGTCAAATTTCAGTTTACCAGTTACGAGCAAGTACAGAGATGTGTTGTGGTCTTTCGTCACTTTGATTAACATGTTTTTGTGTTACTACAAGCCAGTACTGCTCTGTTTGTCAGTAGTGGTGACAGGTTAAATGTTAGGGAGGGCCCCTCACTTCCATTGTCCTGCCCAGACCACAGTACTTCTATGGAGATGCTTTAAAGAGTGCAAAGTTCCTGTGAAAAATATGCTTTTCCTACAGGGATGTCCACTCTTTGTTCCAATCACTGTCCCAGGTAAGTCTCTTCCTGAACTTGGCTGCCTGGCCCTTCTTGGAAAATGCAGATTGAATGCCACTGGTCTCTCTTGAGAAGAAGTGTGCATCTGGTAATGTCAATCTTCATTCAGTCTCTGTTGTCTAAAATGTTGCTAGCATMACCAAGRGTACTTTTTATGAGCATTTCATATYTGTGGRAAAAGATCAKATTCTTGCAGATCAGTTTCTTGATTACTGSCTGTCGTTAAATGGAAGCAAACAAACATCTTGGATTTTAAAAAAATTCTTAGTGCCTTAGTAGTTTTATTTTGCAACACCTGAATTCACAAAAAGCTTGCAGTGTRCAGTTACAGAGCTATTTAAACTGCATACATTCAGTTACTCATTTTGAAACAAGAAATTAAAACCCAGGGAAACTTCAACCCTTCAAAAATTACTTGAAATGAAAATAAAAAGCACAAAAACTAAAGGAGTGTGATTCATTGATCAGTCCTGTAGTTGGATTGCATTTACACAGAGGACTTGATGGTCTGAAACAGATAAAGACCTTCTTCCTTTTTAAGCTTCATTTCAGTGAGAAGTGGCTTTGACTCAATGACTGTCCCATAAGATAGGATTTTGTTAGATTTTGTGATGGATGTTGCAGCTGGATGACTGTGAAAAAGCAAAACATTCATCCTGGAGATTCTAACTTAATGTCTCCTCAGTGGCAGTGCTTGCTGCAGAAGAAGTGATTTCTCCATGATTGCTGTGGGTGGTGACATAGATGATTGCTATGTATGATTGCAGACACAACCAGTGCTACTTCTCCTTTGAATGCTCTTATCAGTTACTCAAATGCTATAAATCTCACYGTTGTTATATCATTTCCAGTCTCCTTCTTTCATGACTGGAGTAGCAAAGTTGAACTTCCAGTAGGTGTTGCCTTAAGCACTATTTTAATGATCATTTTGATTGACATTACTAAATGGCCCTTGACTTCTACCTGTAAATCAAGTAAATGTGTCAGTTTTTTATTTAGGGATTGACTGTGGTGGCCTAAGCATGCTATGAAAACCAACAAATCAACTTATTATCTTTTCATCATTGTTTGTATTTAATCTAATTAGCTGATTTCCCCCTACATCTACCTTTCTATTTCTGCTTAGCACAACTGAAGAGAGGATGCAGGCTAGCTTTCTGAGGAACCTTGATGTAAAAATGTAGGTTTAAGAATGAGTCAGCTTTGCTTTATTCGAATGTCTGCCTATTCTCTTTCATGGTTCAGTGGGTTTGAATGTACATTCTTCATTGCTGGAAACTCTTGTTCAGCTAAAGTCACACCTTTGTCAACTGACATTTTGAAAATCCCTGCTTTATTTTTGGCTGTATTAATACTATTATCTCAWCCTTTCTCATCAGCAGATTTCAAAGCCCTCTCTCAAAAGAGGAGCGGAATTATCCACTGCAGTTTGGTGCATGTGGGAGGAGGATGCCACCCAGGTTCGGTGAGCTCCAGTCCCAGGACTTGAATTCCTGAGCTCAACACTTTAATATGCTCTCCTCTTYGCATCCAACTCAGCAAAGCTGCTCAGAGCACAACTTCCAGCTCAGTTGCTTGTCCAGCACAAGCACTGAGTTGCTGTGAGTATTACTGGGAGAACTGGAAGAGGCTATTTGGCACAGAGGAAGGAACAAGATGAACAAYATTCACTGTGGCAGCACCAGGTACCCTCTGCACCAAGGTCAAATGTGCACAGGCTGTGGGTCACAAAGCTGAGTGGCGACATGAGGCACATTTGAGTTTTGTGTGGAGTTTTGAGTTTTTGACTGGCAATCACATTGAGTGGCACATTTGAGTTTTTGTTTGGGGCAATACTGCACAGCCTCTGGTGCACCCTGATAATTCCACACATGAGCAGATTCAGCATCCTGGCCAGACCCAGACCAACCTGTGGGCCATTCCCTGACGCCACTCTTAGCGCTGGACCACTCTTACATCACAGTTKCCAAGAGCCTACAGCTTGCTTTCTCCTTGTTGACCATCATTTTTGTCAGCCCAGCCCAGTCAGTCTTTCACCTGATCTGAAAGCAAGGCTTCCCCAAAGGACCTGTTTGTTCTTACTGATTAGAGGGATCACAGAGTAGGACCAAGGAAAAAGAACCTGCAGTGAAAGCTGTCTGGCTTCCAGGTTAGTCTGTGCACCAGACAGTGCATAACTCAGCAGTTCACAGTGCCTCTGCTATCAATCAGAATCACCATGTGTGAGGATGATGTACCATGGCACCTTGAGACATTATGATGGCCTCAGTGACATCTGTGAGAATTTGAAGCACCTCATGCTTGAAATTCATCTGTTTATTCTTTTCAAGATAGGATGGATGGCTTAACCCACTCTTTGCATCAGTTTTTCCCAACTGATTTACACAGTGACTTCTAAGGTTTTGAGTAGTAAGTATTTTTATAGTCTTTTTCTTGGAAATAAAGGTTCTTTCTTATTGCAAGTAATGTCTTCCACAGCTATTCCTATTATCTGCATTGATGCAGATAAACCACATGCTTGTCATCCTCAGCAAACTGCTCATGGTAGTGCATTCTAAAATTAATTATGATGGATTTGTGCGTGCATGAGATTTGAGTGTGCTGCATTTTATTTTCAGTTTGTATCATAAGAGAAGTCACATGGAGATGAGCTTCCACTTCTCTTATTTAGAGTGATGAGTACTATAGCACTACAATATTTTGACATTTCTTCATCAGCCATTTCCTGATGCATTTTAATGCCTTATTTGCTCTTTGCAGCCTTGCCTGAGTGCTGAGCAGGCACTTTATTATTGACAGTGTAAGAAAATAAATCATCTGGCTTATAATAAGTAATCTGAATAGTTGTTGTCCAGCAAAAAGACACAGTAGAAATATCTTCTAATACATATTTTTCAACTCTTAATAGGTCTGCCACCACATTACTGATTTTTTGCTGCTTTTAAAACAATTTTTGTGCCAAAATCTAAGCACTTCTTTGTGAGTTTCCTTCCTGTTCCAGATCTCTGATTAGTTAATATCCTGTGATATTAATCCTGTGAKGTATCACACTGGTCACATTTTGCTGTTATCAAATTTTTCTACTCAGTTTCTGGGTTTGCTTTCTTTTGTTTTGCCAGATACATCTTAAATGAGTGAAAATTGAGTCCTGGGGTTAAGTACTTCTGAAGCAAGGAACATTCACTTTAAAATATACACTTTTAACSAAGATGCTTCAAATTTATTTACACATGCTGGGAAATGAATTTTTTTAACACCTTTATTCAAAAATATTCAAAACTTTTTCTATRTTAATCAAAATACAGAATTGCTATCCTGAATTACAGTGATAAAATGAATCAAAATGCTATACATGCCTACATATAGGCATATATGTCAACCTGAGAGAAAACACGCTTACAACACAAAGTAAAGGTTTTGCTTTGTGTCTTTGTGCACATAGAGAATACATTTAGTCCTTTTTCTTAATGACAGAGGGTATATMATCCCCCCTGAGAGGAAACATTTCACAGTAGCAGATACAGCTRATAGCTACCTAAGAGTCACGAGTGAACAAGTCCTACACAGATCAACTGCAGAATAAAAAACGTGCATAGGATGGTGATAACCATTCTTGRATAAATGAATGTTTTCCAAGTGCAYRTGTTGATGACAAGCTGCTGTCTCACCTCTGCCCCTCCATGCAYGCCAATGTCTTGATGCTGCTGAAAAAGAAGCCACGCAGTGCAGTGTTTTGCSCAGAGCTGAGCAGTGATTTGTAACCACAGCAGAGAAACTTTTCATGTCCACCTCCCATGTTTCACTTTTGGGACACCTTCTGTCATGATACTCAGAAAATCTAGAGGCACAAATAAAGCTGAAGTGAGTAATYATCCGGCACTAGCTTATTGTTAAATGTATCTGCATTTGCTTAGCTTTTCAAAGTTCCTGCTTTCGTCAGTTTGCTTGTTGCTGGGTTCAGTGGCTGGTCTGAAACACGTCACAGAGCGTCTTGATCTCCTGTAGACTGTGTGTGGAATGAACTGGTAGATTCAGAGTGGTAAGTCATGTGAACTCCACACCACTTGCAGAAATACCCAGGTAACTGCCAGTTCTTAAAGAGCATCTTCAGGTACTTCTTAAATTTTTCCCCCATGAAGAAGTAGATGATTGGATTGAGGCAACAGTGAAAAAGGCCGAGGATCTCTGTTACCTGGAAAGCATAGTCCAGACTCCTGCTCACTTGGCAGTCGTTAATGACTCCCACAGATTCCAGCAGTTGTAAGAAAATAACGATGTTGTAGGGGGTCCAAAAAAAGAAAAACACGATCATGACAGCAAAAATCATCTTCACAGCCTTATTCTTTTTGTCATTTCTACAGTGMACCAATGTTTTAATGATCATGGAGTAACAAAATGTCATAATTATTAAAGGGATTAGGAGCCCTAAAATGTTGATTTCCAAAGTGGAAAAAAGTTTCCATGTCGTGAAATTGCCTGGAAATACTGGCTTGCAGGTAGTATAATTACGTTCATTAAAAGACTGTCTAAATACAAGCTCGGGAACTGAGGCTAAAAGAGCTACAAGCCATACAACAAGGCTAGTAACCAAAGCATGGAAGGCAGTCCTTGCTTTCAAGGAAAACACTGCACGAACAATTGCCAGGTATCTGTCTATGCTCATAAGCATGATAAAAAATATCCCACTGTAAAACCCAACTAGGTAGATCCAYGAAATGATTTTACACCAGGGAGTCCCGAAAACCCATTGGTCTACTGTGAAATAAGACCAGAACGGCAAGGATAAAACGAAGAGCAAATCTGAGATGGCGAGGTTTAGCAGGTACACATCAGTCATGCTCCTCAGCCTCTTGTATTTGAAGAGAACCATGATGACCAGAATGTTTCCAGTGAGCCCCACCAGGAATACCAGGGAATACAGAACGGGTAGGAAGGAGGCTGCAAACCTCCTGACATTTTCTTTGCTGCATAGTTTTGGAGCATCCTTGTAATTATCGTAATAGTCGTAAAAGGTTGAGAGTTCAAAGGGCTCTGGGCTTGAAGAAGTCATGGTTTCTTTCCCCCARTTCTGAGAAGGGAAGAATATAAAAATGTCAGTGACTTTGAGTGCATCAAGACCGTGTGGTTACTCCACAAAGCTGAATCACAACTGACTGACTCGCAGCTCAGCACTCGGCTCACAGCACGTTCTCAGACATTATGTAAGCATTTTGGCACGGACACCTGAGCACACTCAAACAAGGAACTGTCCTTARTGTGCATGTGCTTAGTCCTTGCACCACTGTGCAACTTGAATGTCAAACACACATGGATGTTCATATGGACGAGAGAAAAGCAAATAGGAATGAAAGACGTGGGCCACAGATGTCAAATCAGAGAGGGTTAATTCCCATGCAGAGCAAAGTAAAAAACAAAACCATTGTTCATAGCAGTTCAGAATTTCAGTCACMGGCAAATGTCACCATAAGAAGGTAATGATAAACACGCATCAGGCTTTTCCAATGAAATTACACTTACTGAAAGCTGACATGAGCTTTMATGAAATAAGTGCTATTTTCAGTGACTAAATGAATAACAGGAATTTGTATGTCCTCTTCATATGTATGTCCTTTCCTAATAGGCAGACACAGATTTTTAAGTGATGTAACTTAGGCACAGGGCAAATATATTGCTGACTTATTAGTCTGTATGTCATTCAGATCACAGCATCATTCTTTTAGCCTGACATACCAGAAATTAATGTCTGAGTTCTGTTTTTACCATGTAGGTAATTTGCATCACAAGTGGCATTCTTTTAGCTAAAAATATTAGAACTCTAAMTCTGAGTTATGTTTTTCCCCTTTGTCTTTATTTTATGAAGGGAAAGCAGAAGAGAATTGAGTTTCATTGCTTCACTTGTCTTTGCCCTGTGTGTTGTTGCTACATAACAGCAAACATTGAMTATCCTTAACCTGAGCCCTGCTGTTTGCAGTCCCAAGCAAAACACCTTTGCAGCCTGCAGTTCAGAGGAATTTAATCTGACCTAAAAGTCACCAATAAAAAACCATTTGACACCAGTGGTCTAGAAATGACAGCTTTGCACCCAAGCATACCCGAATCTAATCATGGTTCAGCATAATATATTTGAACACTTAAAACTTAAAAACGTATCCTCACAGAACACATCCACTTGCTTAAAAAATACCTGAATAGCTATAAAAGGTAAATGAATAAGTATTACATTCACACACATAATGAGTGTACATGATACACAAAATTTAAGAAATTGCATTTTATGAGTTTTACCTTTTCTTCTCAGACGATGTGAAGAAGCTTCTTTGGTCTAAGGGTGCAGAATCACTTGCTTCTCATCAGGTAGYTCTGCCAGGACAGTGCTACCTACACAGCAGTATTTCCACCAGCTCACGAAGATGATGCCTCTAGATACCTCTATCTCTTAGAGGAAGCTTCCACTTCCTTAGGTTGTATCACAACTGCTTATCTCCTCAGTGCGCCTCAGAGACAGTCTCTGTGAGTCAGAAATAGAATAAAACACAAAATGTTTTTTAAAAAAAAAACTGTTTCCACTGGGGAACTAGTTACTTAAAGCAGTCTTATATTATCCAACAATCTATCTTATCCAACATCATCCAACAGATGTCACTAAGCATAGATGTCACTTGGCTCTCATTCTACTGGAAACTCTTTATTTTCTTAATCTCAGAAAAAAAAAATCAAAGAATCATCTGTAGTGAGCAGAGACGAGGCAGGCACTTGGTGGGTGTATGGGTAGTGTTTCTAGTCCTTCTCTGACAGATAACTAACTTTGCAAGTTGCACTATGTAATTGTAGAAGAAAAAAGCTGTATAGATTTAGTGTAGGGAAGGCTGCTTTTAATCACTRTGGTTTGATCTTCCTAACTCTACTTACCTTACTAAAAAAAAAGAAAAAAAGGCATGTTAATTCACACTACCTTTTTGCTTGATGTTTTCTGTCACAGGTTTTATACAGCAAATCTGCCCCCTACCACTGACCGGCACAAAATGTAACAGCAGTCAAAATATTGAATAAAAAGAAAGAGTGCGCACAGGCGCGTGGTCTAAGGGCAGAACGTGCAAGTGCTGAGGTTTACCGAGGTTCTTCATCACGGCAGGAAGCTCAGCAGCTTCTATGAATTTCTCTGGAGAGTGAGGTGGGCCTTRTTTGTCTTTTGGGGGATCCTGAGAAGTGAGAGGAGAGCACAGAGGACATGTGCTGGTCAAGTGGGGTGGTTGTGAGCCCTGCCAGCAGAGCAGCTGTGCTGGCAGCTRGCAGGTGCAGGTCTCCTCAGTTCCCCAGAAAAGGCCAGCCAAGCAGAAGTAGAAGCCATTTCTGAATGGGGAAGGCTGCTGCTTTCTTGTAATCTGGAGAAACTGAAGAGACAYGACGAGAAACAGAAACAAGAAAGCTGCAGACGGTGATTGTGAGGGTAGGAAGAATCAAACATCTTCATTCACCAGAGAATATCTGTTTTCTTGTTCTCTCTCTGGTGTTGTTTCAGACAYAGGTATAGCTTTTGCTCAGCTATGCTATTTGCTGCTATCTCACCTGCCTCTGACACTGTTACACTGCCCAGYAAYTTACATTTGGCTGAAGRGTTTCTTCAGCTTKWTGTGATKACAGCATGACATGTGGGATCTACCYRTTTCAGGTTTTGCCARAATAAAGCAATTGTAGGGCAGGACCTTTTCAGTCATCTTTCACAAGCTGCATTTCTGGGGATTTTTAAATAGGTCTCTGGGAGGTGTTCCTCCAGTGCAGGTTATTGCTCTGCAGATCATCTTTTCTCTTCATTTTACTAGCAGTCCTTAAAGGATGTGGACATCAGATAAGCAGACAACACTGTCATACCTTCAGCTTCATCAGCCCTGCTCACAGAAACTATCAGCTCTTCCTCTTGCTGTTCTTCTGTCTGTGTAAGGGCCTCRTCAATCTCTTTGACAGGTTGTTGCACTCAGGCCACAAGTTCAGCTCTTTAGCCACAACACAATGACACAAAATCTTTCTTTAAGTACTTGCTTTTCAGGAAAAAAACACCTCTTGTTCTTGGCAATGCTCTCTTAGACACTGATGTTTCTTAGTTTGGGCTGTAATCTTTTTTTTCCTCAATAGCCCCCCATGCATGCTTATTTTGTCCCACCCATTATTTTTAGCTCTATCAAAATAGGCATCTTCTYTGAATTTTTTCAGTGGTGATTTTTCTTGATTTCCAGATGAAGAGGTTACTAGAACTGAATCCACATATTATATCTCTYTGACCCTGTTTGGTTAAGGAATTATTTCCCATCAGCAGCAACCTTTCAAAATGTGTCAACCATCATCAGCAGCATTTTGAGACCTGTCCTTAGCACATAGACCACACTTCAGGTGTGCTTCAGATCCCTCAGACATCCTGTTAGCAGGGAACGAGTCTGCAGCCATATGATTTTCAGTTTGATCCATATGGCACTGGCCTGAAGAAAGCACCTACCTGGCACTTCTCCAGAAAGCTTTCAAGTAGCAAATGGGCCTGCCAAAATACCAATGCACTTCCTGCTAAATCACCAGATGGGAAGRTCTGTCTTTGTGAGGAGAATGAGCAAGAGTGTTTGCTCAGATAGAGGAATGCTCAGCCACTAAAAGAGAAAAATTATTGTGGCTAGAGATACTGAAAATTTGTGATGTGTGAACTCCAGAAAATGAAGATTTWAAAACTGTATCTGCCAGTTCATGAAAATCAAGATGATAAGAATGAATCCTGAACTACCTTCTGACAGCTTACCTATGAACAGAATCCGTGGGAGAGCCTGCAAGGAAAACTGCAGAAAAAATAGGAAAACGAAAAGAAACCTCTGAGCAAATGAGATAATGTAGAAAACAGAGGAAAGGAGCTGTGTGTGTAGGTMCTGCTATAGCTTGGAGAGAAAGAAGAGTGGAAGGGAGGGACTGAGTAAAACTACAGTCTCCAGTCTTCAGTAGGGGAGCTCTGAGGTCCCCTTCCAATGTGGTAGCCTGTCTTTTTCAGCTCCTTGGAGAACCTGGCAGACTAACAAAAGGAGAATGGCAGGAGATGSCAAGATAAAGGGGAAACGGGAAAGGGGAAAGGGTTCTCAATTCCTGTCAGACTAATCAGACTAACAGCAACAGGGGAAGAGAAAAGTCATTTTACCTCTTTACAAATGGTGTCAGGTATGTGGCACTGACAAAATAAATCACAAGTGCACAGAGGTGGACCAAATCTGATTGGTCTGATCTTTTATATGGGATGGTGGTGGTGGGGGCACATTAAATGCAACAGGATGAAACTTCGTAAAAGCAAAATGCTGAACAACCCATACCATAAAAACTTTGCTTCTCACCAAAAGATTATTTCAGCTACTCCCATCTTTTCTGGGAAGTCTTATAATTGATTTGCYGTTTTACAGGAGGCATAGGAGTCCTGCCCAGGGAGGGACTGGAGATGGACATTTAGCTGACCCACTGGCTRGGCTGTGAGATACTCACCACTGATACTCCAGTGCATTCTGTCTGATCTTTGTGATGGCCAGGGAGAGGCTGTTCAGACACATCCTCATTCAGAAGAGCCTGGCCCAGGAGACAAGCAGATGACAGTAAATAAAAATGGACAGCTATTGCAAGAATCAGTATTTTGGCTGATTGTGTGGATCAGCTCAGGATCCAGGTTGCCAAAGTCACAGATGGACAAATGATTACCTTTCTTATCAAACCATCCTTTCCATCAGGTGGCCAACTCCTCTGTGCATGGTCAGGCCTTGTGTGGTTCTTCTTTTGAAATTCAGGTGAATTTGGATTGCAGTTTGCACATCTGTAGCTCCCATCCTTCCTTGTTAGTGAAGTGTTTGTGCTACCAGCTCATTGCACAGTTCCTTTTTTTTTGTAATTTTCAATGTATTCCAAATTTCCGGTGCRTAACTAAAACCACAGCATTCTGAGAGAGAACTTAAAAAAGGAAGTGAATAATTTCCTAGTTTTAGACAATTACTGTGCACACTGTTTCTCAGGTGGTTCACTAATTTAATTCAATCTCTTTCAATACAGGAATTCCTTTTGGCTAAGATAGCTGCTTGTGCTGACAAGCAAAAGATTTAAGCTAAAACCATCTTTTCCTTGCTCAAAACTAGCTGTAATTCCCCTCACTTTTTTTTTCTTTCAGTGGGCGTGTCCTATGCGTTCTGCTGTCTTTATCCACTGGTGATTCTGTGAGTGGGAATAGTCATTCTTTTCCTCAGCCTAATTTACTTTCTTTTCCCATGCTGTGCTTGCAAAANAAAAAAAAAAAAAAAAAAAAAAAAAAAAAAAAAAAAAAAGAACTGAAACTTCTAACCTCAAACGTGACAGAAATAGTCATTTTGTATGCTAAATTTTACTTTAAATAAAAATCACTAATGCAAAACCTGTGACTTTTATTCTTCTTAAATATGAAATGGCACARCGAGGAGCTTTCTTTGTCATGTTCAGTGATCTGTTAAATGTTACCAAACTGTTTCTATGGTAGGTAAGAAATTTGGGCTGTTTCCGCCCTGAGGAGCAGTTGATATCTGAAATTAATTTTTTTTCCTAAATGTCCCAGCCATCACCTAATCATCACTATGAGGTCCTCT